TATCTAATTCTTTAATTTTTTGTTCATATTTTTTTATTATTTTTTGATCATTTTTATCTATAATAATAGATGTAAAGGTAGAAATAGGTGCAAAGGTAGAAGTAGAGTTTGAGATATATGTAGAGGTAGAAGTAGAAGTAGAGATAAAAATAAAAGTAAAAAGCTCATTTAAATTACCATTATTATATGATGATATTATTTTCATTTGTTTATTAAGTAAAGGATCTGTTAAAAAGTATAAATAATTTAGAATTACTCTTGCTTTCATTAAAGCTAAAGAAGATTTATTTTTTTTAATTCTAATTAATTAAGTAGTCATAATGTTGATTTCTAAAAAAAAAATTGTTTTAAAAAAAAAAAAATACAAATTTACAACTTTATCTCATTATAAATTATATTAAGAAAAGAATAAAATAAAATAAATATAAAATTCAGCTTTATCTTACTGAAAATTGCATCTATTTACATAAAAGAGCTTGCATAGGAGAAATAATCTGATCCTAAAACTATAAAAAAATTATTTCTATACTTTGGATTCTTTCAAATAAATTATGAATTAAGTCTTTAAATAAAAATTTTTGAAAAATTAATTTTACTATTTTAGTATAATAATTTATAAATGCCTACTAAACTGATACTGTGACAGCCTAAAATTCTAAAAAAAAATAATTAGTAATTTCTAAACGCTCTTACCGAACTGATACCATAACAACCTGAAATTTTAAAAAAAATAATTAGTAATCTCTAAACGTCTTTACTAAACTGATACTACGACAACCTAAATTTTAGAAAAAAAAATAATTAATAATTTCTAAATACCCTTACTGAACTGATACTGTAGCAGCCTAAAATTCTAAAAAAAATAATTAGTCATATAAAAAAGGTATAAATTAATTATTAATCATTTAACCAACTTAACCAACCAATTTAATTCTTTAAGACTAACCTATACTAAAGAAAGAAAGAAATAATAATAACTCAATTCAATTTAGCAAGCCAAGAAAAAGACTACTAAACTAACTAATTATTAACGAAAACAGATTGATCTGATATTATATAAGCGAGTCTTACTTTTTAAAGATGAATAAACTAGTATGTCTTAAATCGATCGATTTATCAATCAATTTATTTTCCTTTTTTTTTCTTTCAATTGATTCTTTTTTTTATTTAATTTTTAATTCTCACACACCACTTTTTTTTTTTTATTTTATTTTTATTTTTCTCACCCACCCTTTTGAAATATTTAATTATTTTCCAACCCAGTTTTTATTATTTTTTTTAATAATTTTTAATATTATTTTCCTTCCCCTTCTGGAAATTGTTAGTATTCCAGTGAAACTATAAGTAACCCTAACATAAGGCAAATCTTATCATGTCCAGTTTACTGCTGTTCTTTTTCCAACTTCGTGACATCAGTGGTTTCTTTTTCAGGTCAATTAAAATCAGTTAATTTTTTTTTTATATTATTTATTAATTATTTTTTTTAATTTATTAAATATATTTTTTTCCGTTTTATTTTATTTTATTTATTTTTTTTCAATTTTTAATTTCAATTTTTTTTTATTTTATATATTTAATTTTTTTTATATTATTTATAGAAACTGCTTTAGGAACTTACCGGTAAGCAGGTTCTCTTCTTTTTAGGTTAGATAGGCTTCTTGAAAATATTACTAACATTCTCTTTGCTTCTCTTTTTTAGAATCGGCCTTCTTTGGATCTTGAGAATTACCGGTAAGTGAGTTCTTTTCTTCTTAGATTAGGGTGAGCTTTTTTGAGAATATTACTAATGTTCTCTTTGCTTCTTTTTTTAGAACTAGTCTTCTTTAGATCTTGAAAATTACCAATAAGTGAGTTCTTTTTGGATTGGGATATGCTTTTTTGAGAATATTACTAACGTTCTCTTTGATTCTCTTTTTTAGGATCAGCCTTCTTTAGATCTTAGAAATTATCAGTGTTATAGTAGTTTTTATAACTTCAAATAAAATCTCAAAAGAGTAAATAAAACTAAGACAATTACTCAAGAAATCACGGGTAAGGATTCACAATAACGTCAAAAATTATTCTCAATATAAAACACATAATATAAACACAAAATAAACACAAGAATGATACAAAAATATTTTAGAGATTACACTTTAGAGACTCCCAGTCAATACAGCAAATCAATATAATATTATATAACAAGTTTACTAATAAAAAGAATTGTACAAATGCAAAGAGATCACAAATAATTTATAACAGTTTCAAAGGGTTTATGAAGGATAAATTTTATACTTAGTTAATTATACTCTTTTATTAATATAATATATAAGTTCAGTACCTAAAAGATTAACATCTTGTCAGTGCTAAGACTCAAAGAAAATATAGAGATATTTATACATATTGAATAAATAATAAAATAAATTAAACTAAATATATTGAAGAAAATAAAGTTGCCATTTCGCTAGGTAATAAAGTTGCTGTGTCAATAAAATTACCAGATCTGCAGGTAACTAAATGGACATCTATGATCTACGTGATTATCAAAAGCAATAAAATTGACATCTAAAAATTTGCATAATTGATCGATAGCAATAAAATGGACAAAATGATCTTCATAAAAGATCTATATGACAATAAAATTGACTTCATATTCTACCAATTAAATCTTATCTAAAATTTTTACCTATCATGCTAGTATGTGAGTTTCCTTCTTCTTGGATTAGATAGGCTTTTTTGAGAATATTACTAACATTTTCTTTTCTTTTCTTTTTTAAGATCAGCCTTTTTTGAATTTTAGAAATTACCGGTAAGTGAATTTCCTTCTTCTTAGATTGAGGTGAGCTTCTTTGAGAATGTTACTAATGTTCTTTTTACTTCTCTTTTTTAGAACTGGCCTTCTTTAGACCTTGAGAATTACTAGTAAGTGAGTTCCCTTCTTTTTAGGTTGGGTGAGCTTCTTTGAGAATGTTACTAACGTTCTCTTTTTGCTTCTCTTTTTTAGGACTGGCTTTTTTTGAATCTTAAGATTACTGGTAAGTAAATTAATTCCCTTTTTCTTAGGTTAGGTAGGCTTCTTTGAGAACGTTACTAATATTCTTTTTTTACTTCTCTTTTTTAAGACTGACCTTTCTTTAGATCTTAAAAATTACTGGGAAGTTAATTCCCTTCTTCTTGGATTGAATGAGCTTTTTGAGAACATTACTAACGTTCTTTTTCCTTTTCTTTTTTAGGACTGGCCTTCTTTGGATCTTGAAAAATTACTGGTGAATTAATTTCCTTCTTCTTGGATTAGAAAAGCTTCTTTAAGAACATTACTAATGTTCTTTTTCTTCACTTTTTTAGGACTAACTTTCTTTAGATCTTAGGAACATACTAGTAAGTGAATTCCTTCTTTTTGAATTAGGTAAGCTTTTTTGAGAATGTTTACTAATGTTCTTACTAATATCGCAGAAGTTCAAAATACTAAAATTTAATAAAAAGCTATTTTTAAGAAAAAATAAATTTTTTTTTATTTTTAATGTTTTTTTTAAAATAATTAATTTTGTTTTATTTTTTTTTTATGATTTTATTTAAATAAAATAATATATAAAACTTAAATATAATATAATTTAAAATAAAATTTTTTTATTTAAATATTTATAAGTTAATTAAATTTTAACTCGAAACTTGATTTGAACTTGATTCAACTTAAATAAATTCAAGTTAAAATTAAGTTGAGTTAAACTCAAGTCAAATCAAATTGAGTCAAATTTAAAATTTATATAACTCAAATCAAATTAAATTAAAAGATTTTATAAAATAAACTTGACTCGACTTGACTTGAAAAAAATGAGTTGAATAGAGTTAGTCTTTAAACTTGACTTAACTTGACTTATTTAAAACTCTAGTTATATTAGCAATAATAAATTGATATATTTTAATTTTTTAAAAATTTTATTTAATTCATTTTGGCCAGATTATTTAATGATGATTGGCAAAATAATTTAATGAGATTGAATATTTAATTTTAATATAATAATATATCTAATATAATCAATATTTAAAATAGTGTTAAAAGGTTTAAAAAATCAAAAAAATAATCATAAAACATATGAATATGATTTATTAATTGATTTACAATCATATAAAAAGAAAAAATTTTATATACTGTAATAGGATTGGATTGATGAACGTGGCGCAGTATATTGCAGATCTAAATGTTAAACATATCAGACATATTTGATATAATTGATATCTTGGACATATCGGACATATTAGATATATTTGATTTATTTGTTATATTCATCTATGTATTAATTTAATATAAATAGAGAGCAATAGAATCATGTAAACAGTAGTTCGCTTGTAGTTTACTTTTAGTTTCTTTTAGTTTCACTTTTAGATATACGTCTAGTAGTTCTTGTAGAGGCGCCTGGCCTAACATTTCAATTAGTACTTAACTCTCTAGTTTCTCTTATTCTTTTTATTTTCTTATCTCATATATCATTATTATTTTATACCTTATATTTATCATCAATAAACATATTATTATACCTTTGAATCAATTGCTATTTTTCCTTTAGTTTTGTCGAAAGTACACTGTCGTGTAAATCATATAAACTTGAGTTAAATTGAGATTAAATCACTACGTAAATTTAAAAGAATCACCACTCGAACACCCCATCTAACTGTCGTAATTCGCAAGAATTGCACGTTAACAATACTGATATTGATTAACATATAATATAAATATCAGTACATAAAATTTTTTTATGATATATCTGATATTTCGATCTACTGGTAGTATCAGTATATTGAAATTTGACTATAGTCTGTAGGTGTATTATATAATATCATAGAAAATAATTTCAGATCTATTTTATTTAACTATAAATTAGATATTAAGATTTTAACGTAATTTTTATATTATAATTAATTGAATTTTTAATAAAAATTTATAAAATTTTAATATTATTATTTAAAATTATGAAACTTTATTTATAAATGATTGTATCAATGCAAAATTTCATTTAAATAAATTAAAATTGCACTCTTTTTAGTTTACTAGTAATAATTACATTCACATTATATTTATCATCTTCATCACTAGATTCACTTTTATCAAATTCTCCTTTTTTATTATTAAGATAAATCTTATTAGAATGAAAAATTGAAGATTGGAAATCAATTATATTTGAAATATTCAAATTTATGGCTGATTCATTTATATAGAAATATTCAGTTAGATTTAATAATTCTGCATTTTCTAATTCTTCTAAAGAAATTTGTTCTTCAAGTTTATTAAAAACTGTTTCTGCAACATTTTTCATTATTTTTAAAGATATTTCTGTTTGAGTTCAATAAAGTTATTCTGCAGCATTTGATAAATTAAACTGATAAATTTTTGCAATTCTAATTTTTCTATTCCTAATTAAGTTCACCATTTTTCATAGATTCTTCCTAAGGATAAAAACATGCTGCAGAACTGAAAAGAGTTTAACTGCTAATTATTGTAGATGATTTAGCTTAACTTCACATGTGTTTTACCATATTAATAATATATCATTAATTGAATAAAAAGAGGATTTGTCCTTCTATTTATAGTATATTTTTGCTCTTTATAAAGATACAATTGAGTTATTAAAGTTTTACAACTTTTTTGATTTATCCATTTTTTGCCATAATTGTTCAGTATAATTTGCAATTATTTGAAATACATCAAATTTTAATCCAGCTCCCTTATATACCAGATGAAGAAAAAATATAAGTTGGTTAAATAGGATTATTAAAATCTTCAAATCTACAATTAAACTTTTTAATACAATAGTTATGAAATTCCTTATATTTATTAGTAGAAAGGTTTTAAATTGCTATAATAATTTTATAAGATTTGTATATATATTTGCAAAAAAAGAGTTAGTTGTTTCAACTACTAAGATTACATTCTTTATTGAAAATAAAACTTCTGAAAGATACTGCATATCACCAAAAAACCCTGATTATGAAGAATTATTAGAATGGCTGAAATTATAATAACTTTAGAATGGTTATCTCAAATTTTCTTCAAAATACTTTTGAGTCATACAATTGAAAAATATATTCATGTATAATTATCTACCTAATTTCAACATATATCTTGAGACCACCTCTAATTTTATATTGCCTAATTCTTTTTTTAAAAAGTTGCAGCTTTATGAGATTTCTTAAAAAATTAAACTATTCTATTTGTATACTGAATTATTCTTTTTGCAACTATGTATTGAATAATATCTTTACTAATCAAATTATAATAGTAAGCAATACACCTAACATTGAAAATTTTCAAATAATAAACCAATTTTTTCTTTTTAATAATAGAAATACAATCTAACCAAAAATCAAAAAATGTCTATAAAATCAAATTAATTAAAAAAAAGTCAAAATATAAGTTAAATTTTATCAATTGACCAGTAAAATTTTCAAATAATAAACTAATTTTTTTATTTTTTGTAATAGAAAAAAACAAAAATATGTTCACTCAAAATCATTTGAAAAAGAGTTGAATTTTTAAAATATCAGTTAACCATAATATATTATTATTTATTAATATTAAATAACTTTTTAAATTATAATAGTAAAAATTGAAAAAATGTAAAAATTATATAAGAAAATTTAGCTCTTATTCAAATTTTAATAAGAATCAATAGTAAATTTTTCAGTTATAATTGTAGTTGAAATTCTTAATATTTTAACAATTTAAAATCAGATGTATTATTTTTAATTTATTTCTATTATTATTTTATAATTAACAATATATTTCTTTATTCTTACATAAAAAATCAAAAGTTAAAAAAAAACTTGCTGAATTTAACAAAAGAATTGAAAAATTAAAATGACAAAATTTCAATCTCTTAAAGAAAAACAAATTTTTTGTTAAAATTAATAAAGAATTTAGCAAGAAAAATAAATAATTTGTAGAAGAGATAAAATTCATATATTAATATTTTAATATTTATAATAAATAATTTTTTTTAATATTTAAGACTTAAATGATTTGAGATAATATAGATACCCAAATTATTAAGACTATTTATTAATGATCTTTTTGCAAAAGAAGAAAAATTAAACAATCTTTATTAAAATTAAAAAAAAAATCCAGTTTGTTATACTTATAATAATATTATAACTAATTATAACTAATGATAAATAAGTATTATAAAGTCACAACTAATTATAAATTAATAAAAATTAAGTTACAATTAACTGCAACTGATAAATAAGTAAAATATAGTTGTAACTAATTGTAATATCATCTTTATAAATGAATTAAAATCAACATAAAATAATTCTGAAGATGATGAATATTTGATAATAAAAGAGACTAATACAGTCTTCAGTGAAAAGAATGGTAAATACTGCATCTATTTTAGACTAAAATATAAATCACATTTCTAATATAGGTTATTATTTATATAACCAAATTGAATGCTAGAATCATAATATAAAAGATAAGTTAAAAACATAAGGTTTGTTTTTATTTTTATTATGATTTCTTAACTGAAAAAATGCTAAGCTCTCTTAAAATTCAACGAAACTTTGTTAAGAGACTTTGAGACCAAACGTGTATAATGTAAAAAAAATTCATAAATGATTATGTATTCCTTTACATATATGTGAATAATATGTCAGTTTACTACATAAAACTACTAATATTACTATTAGTTATTCTTCTGATTATTCAAGAAAATTGTTTGCAAATCAATGTTACTATATCAGAAAAATTTTAAAATATAAATTTTTCACTACTGCAGGTGAACTTAAGACCAAATTAGAAGAAAAAGATCCTGAATTTGGGGTTAGCAAACATATAGTATATTATGAACTTAAAACCTTAAATATATTTCTGTTATGCTAAGAAAAATTTCTCTCTTAACTTAAAAAATGAAGAATATTAGATTGACTTAGTCACATGATTATTCGTATTATAACTAAAAGAAAGTTATTTTTCTAATAAGATAACACTTCTGATATTTAGAAATACTATTTGTATATAGTTTTATAATATACAACCAGTTATTTCTAAGGTAAAGCATCCATTCAAAGTTCAAAAAAAAGTTGGCATTCATTTGTTTATCAAAAATTTAAACTATTATTTATACTAAAATATCCTAGATGATCATTTGTATTAGAGATCTGAATCAGTCAAAAATTTTGTAATCAATAATTAATCGTTCATAAAATGTATAATCGATTATTATTCAAATTAATCATTGATTAATAATGATTATTCAAATTATTCAGATCATTTAAATAACTGATTAATTTAAAAAACTAAATTATTATTTCATTAATTAAAACAAAATAAAAATATTTTAAACTTATTTTTATTATTAACAATGATGACAAATTATATTAACTTTTATTTCAGCTATTATATTTTAATAATTATTATAATTAGATTTTTTCTAGAGAAAATATATTCAAAACTTTTATATTTTATTTCAAAAAAAATCATGCAATAAAGTAAATTTAGGTCAAGGCATATATGTCAGATTGAAATATGATTTTCTGTATTTGAAAATAAGCATTTACTTAAAACAGATATAATAGTTATAGGAAAATAATTTCGTACTAATTCAGATAAATTTAGAAAAAAATATTTTTCATTCATTCTACTATTCACCTAGATTAGTATTATATTTAGCATATTTTATATTACTATAATTAACTATTTTATCATTTGTTTTGTCACTAACAATTGCATTTAAAAAAATTTTTTAAAAAGTGTATTTTGCAATTGAGATTTTCATATTATAATTAAATTATTTAATTAATAAAAAAATTAAATGATTAAAATATATGTTATTATTTTTAAAAAATAAATTATTTATTTATTTACCATTAGTTATATTATTATCAGACATATTATTAGTATTTAAATTTTCATTTGGTGAAACTGATAAAGTTGTTAGAGATGATAATTCAATCATTTCTTATAATTCATTATGAAAAATTTCTATAATTTTAAGCTTCTCTTCTCTTGTAATAAATAATAAATTTTTAAACCTCAAATCTAAATATGAAGCTTTAAAACTAATTTTAGAAGGTATATTCTAATATTTATTTAAAACTTGTGAAATTATAGATTTAACCTGATTAATTATTCCTTCTGTAGATATAGGTTGATTAATATTAATTTGATGATGTGTAATAGGATTGACTAACTCATCAATATTATTTTCTGATTCTTCAAAATAATCTTTCTTTTTTTTTCATTATCTAAAATAGTTGTATTATTTATAAGATCAATATTTTTAGTATTGTTATTACATATTACTTGAAAAATGATTTTTTAATTCTGAAATTGTAGGATATATTAAGCTAAGTATAACATAATTGCTTCCTACTAAAATTGTGGTTGCCTTTCCTAATATACTGAGTAAATCAACTAAATTTTCTATAAAAATCTATTCTTTATCAGAAAGATTAAATTTTTTTAATTGACATTCATCTTTTTTAATATTATTATCCTAATCGCATGTTAAATTAATTGCTAATTAATCAATAGTATCCTTTAAGTAAAAAAGATATTTTCAAGCTAAAAATGAGAAATTCCATTTTGTAGATACATTCTAAATTACTTCTACTTCATTTATATAATACAGATTTTTTTATGTTGCTAATAAATGCTCAAGTTGTTTAGAATATTGAAAAAATCTAATTAAACATTTTATATGTGCAATAAAAATAATAGTTAGTTTTAATGCTTTACTAACTACCAATTGAAAAGTATATGCTGAATATAAAATTCTACTAATAGAATGTAAATATAATATTACTTTTACCATATTTTTTCTATTATCACTAGTTATAGCTATAATATTATTTGAAAATTCTAACTATTAATTAAACTAATTAAAGATTCTTTGATTGCTATAGTATAATGAGAATAGGATAAATATTTGTATTATAGTAGTATATCATAAATTTTAAAATTATTATCCATAAAGAAGTGGTAATACTAATATAATCATATTTGGCTTTTGAAGTTCACAAATTTATTGTAAATGAAATATACTTTACAGATGATAGTAATAATTCTTTCATGTTTGCTTCTATTTAATCATAAGCTTGATAAATCATCAATTTAATATTTTGTTCATTTGGTAAGAAAGAAATTCTTGAAAATATTTATCATTTACAACATCAATTGGTTTTACTCTATAAAGAATCCATCATGTAAGATTTCTATTAGCCTTAAGTTGCTTAGTTTCAGTCTATTACTTAGCATTTAAATTATTAATATATTAATCAAATGTTCTATTTTTGACAGCTTAGTATATTAAAAATTAAGAAATTTATTAATTAAAAGTTTATTAATAAATAAAAATGATAAAAAAAATTTACTAAAAAATTTTTTTTACCTTAATATAAACTTTATTTTCATTTAAAATTTATATACATTAGCAAGATATTATATTGTATTATTTGTATTACCCAAAGCTATATATGTAACAGTATATAGTTTACTATTAGAAAGAAGGTTTTTACAAGCCATTATTTTATCAGGT